CCATGTCTCAGTTTCTCTTGTTCCTGGGACAGATTGCTGAGCACTCTAACCCTGATTCCCAGGACCAAATTCTCTATGCTGGTGCCATTTTAGAATCTGGTGTGGCCGCTGTCACCATTACAGAACATGGTGCTCTGTGCCTTTCTCCTCAAGGCAAAGTCCATTGCCATTGTAATTCTGAGGCTACAAAGGGTGGAGACCTACTGCCTCCTATGATTCCCTCAGGACATCCTTTCTCTTATTTCATGATGACAGTGGAGATTCTCACAGCTGTATCTTTGCAGTTAACAGCTTTGTTGGTGCTTCCTTCTGGCCAAACTCACAGCACTTTAAATCATCCTGCTTGGTTCTTTCTTCTTCATTCTCAACATAAATCTGACTAAAAGCTCCCAACAATAGCCATGCCACTCCCTCAATATTTGGCTGCTTTGGAATTTCTTTGAAAGATTAGTCAGTCCTCCATTGCTTAGTTTCACGCAAAGTCCCTGGACATGAACAAAATGCAGACTTTCTACCAAGGCAAAAGATACATTATCTGGAGTCCAGTGTGGTTCTTCCCAGCAGAAACCTCCCCAGCCTGGTCTTTATAGGCAGGATTTCTATCAGAATTCTAGTCTTCTGAGCTTTCACCAGAGTCTTGAACACAGAACAGATGAAGCTGTTCCTGTGCTTTGCTTCTAGGCAACATCTCCAAACCTTTCCTGTCTCTTCCCATAGACCATTCCCAGAAGCTCATAATCCACATGGTCAGGTTGAGCCACAGGAATGACCCCACTCCTGGTACCAAATTCAGTGTCCGTTACTCTTCTTTCATTGCTGGGACAAATACCTGACACTTAAAATGAGGGAAGGAAAGGTTTATTTAGCTCACAGTTACTGGAGGTTTCAGTCCATACACAGCTGGCTCTGAGACAGAGAGGCATATGCAAGAGAGCAAACTTTCATGGTAGTGGCAAAGAGCAAAGGGAGGAATAGCAGTAACAATGGCATCAGAGAGCAAGTCTTTCTCCCTTAAGTCACATTCTGGGTATACACCCAAGGCTGGGTGTAGTACTCACACTCATAATCCCAACAGCAGTCACACCCGTAATCCTAGTGGATCATGAGTTAATCAAAAACTCTAAAGTCCACCTTGTGACTGCATGAAGCCTTAGGGGTACAACTGGACACAAACCATAACATTTTAAACAAGCATTTGAAAACTCAGTGTTTATATACTGAAATAGGAGCTATGTATGTACACATTATTTATGTACACTGCTCTTGATCTACAATTTCTTTTTTTAAGCTTTTGCATTTTTTTTTCATTTTTCTCCATAATTTTATTGAGAGACAAATAGCAATGAGACAGTTTCAAACCAAATTCGTAGGACAGTTTCAATAATTAACACATTGCATACATTCTTCCTAGTGGTTATTTGCTGTACAAGATGCAGACATGATATCCTATTTACAAACACTATTGCAACAAATCCCTCTGTTCATTAAGAGAAT